AGCTTTTACGTAATATATCGAGTCCACATTCTCGAATAAATCGAACAAAAATTTCTATTAGTTTTCAGCCGACTAAACATTGTAATGTAATATATTATTATTCGATATTTTACGAATAGATTGGTTATTATTGTGGTCTATATCGATTACCCAATTTTCCTGTCAAACATATTTTCAAATTATTTTTAAGAAGCGGTCACCAGGTAGTATCAAAACAACGGGGAATTACAACACAGATTATTTCAAACGAAGCAGTCACACTGTGACAGTTAACTCGAACAAGAGTATAAAAATAATTCTCTTTGTCCCATAGATTACTCCCTCTCCAATTCTTTGGTGTGACATTTTGATAACTTAGTGAATATCTCCATTTGAAAAACCACATTTATTGTGTTTTTTTTACGAAAGAAATTTTAATATTGTTTAGTATATTAAAATATTATAATATTTATTAATTTTACTATATTTGTATACATTTGAATAAAGTTTTAGCAACATTTTATAAAATTTCAACTATTTAAGCGGTTAAAGCAAATAATGTAAGGATTATAACATATAGTCTAGGATCTGTTATATAATAATCTGAAATGGACAAGATAATGATGATGGCAATGTAAGATAAAAATTTGTTTAATGAGGTTTGTCTTTTTAAGTATAATATTAATAGATTTAATTATGATATTGTACTTTTATTTTAAAACAATTTTTGTGTCAATTTTCAATTTTTAGATTGGTAATAATGTATCAATCTTTAATTTCAAGATAAGTTTCTGTTAGAAAATTGAGTCTAGTTGATTGAAGTGCTTAGTATATTCTTTCAAAAGTAATCAGGAAAATCAACAAAAAAAAAAAAACTTGTTTAAGGAGTTTTAGTATACGAAATAGTAAGTGTGTATGTTGACATTTACTGTACAAATGTAGTAATAAATTTGAATTTAACGATAAATCATTGCTCGTGAAAAATAATACTGATCGAAGATTACTTCAGATACATGGCTATACGTATTTCTTAGTATGTTTTTTTATATTGCTATTAGTTATATAAATATTTATATAAGTAAAAAGGTTGATATTTAAACTTCAAAAGCTAAATAGAAATTTGTAGAAACGTATTTAAGATATTTTTTTACTATGCTAAAAAAACTTATAAGTTATGACTATTTATGAGAAAAATTGTATTATATTTATTATAAATGTCAAAAACTGGTTTTGAATACAGCTTTTTGTTTTTCTTTAGTTTTTAAAATTACTAGAAATTTTCATTTTATTACCTCTAAGTATCGATTAGATCCAATTTACTACCAGAAACAATCTTAAAAGTTAGTAATCATAGCATGGAGCATTTTTTTTTTTGCTACTATAAAAAACATACTACTACTCACACACACACACACTCAAAAAACACATATCTTTGTAAAATTAATGCATTTAACGTTCGCTTAAATTCAGAAAAAAAACTGAAAAATATCTACATAAATCTAATTTAAAAAAAAAATCAATTTCTTTTTGTTGTAATTCAAAAATTAAAATACTTCGTAGATACTTTCCTTTTTTACTAAGTATTTTCATTTTAATTGATTCTCTATTATTTATTTTTTTATTTTTGTTCCAATTACAAACAATAACTATTTTGAACTTTTCTTAATTTTTTTTTTTTTTTTTTGTGTACCTTTGATAAATTGTTTGTTTAGGTGAAAAATATTGAAAATTATATACTAAGTTTTTAATTTTTTTTTTTTTAATAATTGTTGAAAATCTATATATTTTTTTTTTTTAATAATTTAAGTTTAAACTTTGAAAACATTTCAAGATATTATTTGGATATCCTGCAATATCAATTGACAACTTATTCTCGAAAGGGGTTTTTTTTTCAATTTGGTATTTTTCAAAAACTGTTAACATTAGAAATTTGAACACTTCACTGAATGTAAATTATAATTTTCTCAATGAAATCTTAAAAATAATTTAATTTATCGCTATTTATAGGCATACTTATGAATTTTTTTAGATTTGTTAATAATCATCTTTAAGGTTTGTCAAAAGTTAAAATATCTAATATTAGGTTCCTAAGAGTTTTCATAATTTTTTTTATAGATATTCAAAACTTTTGTTAACACATAAAAATATTTTTTTCTATAAAAGTTCTACATTATAACTTTGACAAAAATTATCAAAATCATAAAAATTTGCATATTATTTTTTAATTAAAATTGATAAAATATGTTATTTTAACTTTTAAGCTTTAAAAATTAAATGCAAGATCTCTTAAAAGAATTTGCTACAATTTTCTAAAAGTTCTAAAATTACGTGATCATAATATATTAAATGAGTAGTTATATGTAATTCAAGTTAAAACTTACGAAATTGGATGTATAAATAAAATAACGATTATATGATATTACGATTTTAGATATTTTGTTATACTTTTCACCATCACGTTTCGTTCGTTATATCAAATATTAATACTATATTAGTTAATAATTTATAATTTATTTAGTGTTTTTGGCAAAAATTACAATTAGTTTAACCTATCAAGTAGAAAAATACGTTACTCATTAATTAATTTAAATAAATTAAAAATTATCCTTAGAAATGGAGTTTAGAGGCTGACTCTATGACGCCTATGCGCCAATGATTTATCGCATACAATAATTTTAGTGATTAATTATTGAAATTTAATTAAATTAATCTGTATATTATAATTTACCATGACCTACTCAATGATATATTTGGCAAATAGTAATATTCAGCAAAGCTGTATTTTATTAAGATTTAATATTTATAATGTTTGCTTGATTTTTTCAAATTTAATATTTTATGATGAGATATAATTAAATTGTATGAAAAAACTGTTCTTATTTGATAATTTATTCAAATTTTAATATATTTCAGTTTTTAAAAGTTATACACTTTTCATAGTACTAACTACGAGTATATATTATACAATAAACTAATGTCTAGTGTGCTAAAATGTCAGTAGATAAACTGTGGCATTTATTTTATAAATAGTAAACGGTAAATTATACAAATGTATTTACATAAAATATAAAATTGTCTCAGTTGAGGTAAAAAAAAAAAAAAAAAAAAAAAAAAATGATATTTGGTTTATTTTAATAATAATTAAAATTGGGACTCCGCTTAAAATAATATTTTGATTGCAATATTATATCATGAACTTTAATATAAAAACCATATTTGCCTGTCGAATTTTAAGACTTTTTTGTTATGAAACGGTTTCATTGAGACCTAAATGTCCTTTTAACAAAGTTTGTCAAAGATTTTAACCCATAAAATAACATTATTATATTATAATTTATAAGTCGTGGTCCTTAATTAACATAATTGTAGTGTTGGGAAAATTACTTTTAAAAAGTAGGTAATAAAATTACGTTAATTGTTACTTTAAATATATTTATTAAAACTATTCTCGCATTACCTAACATAATTTTTACCACGTAATGTTAACTTTTCATTTAAAAAGAAAAGTTTAAAAATTACATTGCTTTTTTGATATTAAAAACATACATTTATTATTTAAAAAAGTGCGCTCTTAAGTTGTTCTGCATTGATTTTGTATGTTTTGTTAGAAAAATACGATGTACTTGTTATTGCCCTTTAGAACTATAAAAATACTTAATCTACAAATTTTGTGGTAGTATCTGGTAGCAAAACTAGATTTAGTTAGTACTTTTAGAGACCAAAAAAGATACTATTCCCAGTACTCTTAAAAATAATCGAAAAAAACAATTCAGGAAAGTTGCTTAGCTTTATAGTAAGTGTCGAGTCTCGAGTGTTTCTCGTCATTAAGTGGATTACTGTAATAAAAAAAAAAACGAATCTGAATGGAGACGGTAGGTAAGACTATAATTCTAAGAATATATTATTTTAAATTTATATTACTAGGTATAATAATAGATGTTTTAACTTTAAATACTTATAAAATATATTGTGATATTTGTATTCATTTAAGATATTTTTTAATTCGTGTATTAATTACTTATAAGAAACATTGTATTTATTTGTTTTCATAAAAAATAACAAAACAAAAAAAAATATCGAAAGTTTAATCTGCCAATAAATAACTTATAAAGTATTAGGTTATTTTGAATGTTATATTATGTATTAAAAAGGATAATATTCATTATTAAGTATTAGATGATAATTTCAAGTATCTACAGCTTTTGTTTTTTAATTATATCAAAATTAAAATTAAATCAATTTTATGAAAAACTGATTTTTTGTAAAAAAAAATGTTGTTTTTCCTTAATTTTATTTTTTGTTTTTCATAAGTATTTGAAAAATATTTAAATATTTTAAGAAAAGTATTAATTAGATTTAATTTGGTATCAGAAACCAACATCAAAACGGAAATATATTCTACTAATTTCTTTACTTCTACCATTTCTACCATTTATAGCTTATACATTCATAATGAAAAAAATTACACACACGTTATTGTAAAATCAATACTTTCATCGCTCCGCTCAGAATCTAAAATATAGTGTAAATTGGATTCTTCTGAACGTCATATTAATCATTCTATATTAAAAAAAATTTAACATAGTATTTGGGTACGACGTCGTCTTAATAATACATTAGTACAATAAAGTATAAATGCGTATATTGTGTGGATTATTAATAATTATCATTCATATAATTTTTTTGTTCTGAACTCTTACCCTATATTTAAATACTTACGTAATTATCATCTTTGAGTGTTTTTATTTTTATTTTTACTTTTAGACTCTTATTAGTGTCTTATAACTTTGTTAGACGTACATACTACTCAGAAACTAGAAATGATTTGTTAGTATTAATACATATTGCATAGTAAAATAATTAAATGTAAAAAATGTCTAAAATATATCTTGAATATATTATTATAATATTCTTAGGTGTTTATAATTGTATTTGTAAAAGCATTTAGTGATTGATATTCTAGTTTAGGATTCAGGACATTGGGTTCAATAATGAATAATAAATAAATTTATTCCACACACTGACATAATATTGATAGTTTAATAATGTGTTATTACAAAAACCGATTTGGTCACAAATATAAAAAGTGCATTTTTGCTAGTAATCTTTTTACATCAATCTAACGTGTCTTATTGCTTCAATAACCATCGTGACATAACCGTACGAGGGTTTTTAGAATTTATTTTTATATGATATTAAAGTATGATGATGTATTTTATTGTTTTAATGACGCATTCTCCATAGCGGAGTCTAAATAATTTGTGTATACGATATAAATAACACCTTACATAATAATATTGCAACATAATAATACGTTTGACACGACTTCCATCGTTAGTATTGTTTTACAGCAACACAGACGGAATTGATTGTTAAATATTACGTTAAACATAAATATTTCAAAATAAGTTATCGCATTATATGATATTGACTAATCGGTTAAAGTATGTATATATATTATATATATATATATATAAATATATGTATAAATTATATAAAAAAAATCAAAAAAAAAAAAAAATCAGGTAATGCATACTATGCACGTACGTATCGTATAACCTCACAACAATACGTCAACCGTACGACACCGTGTAGCCCATGTTGGCCATGAGCGAGTCCTTCAGGACGGGTTTCAGGGTGCGTTCCATGTGCTTGGCCAACAGTGACCGGACTCCGCGGACGAACACGTCTTCCATTTCCATGAGGAGTTGGTCCTGCACCTGCTGGTGGTGTGGGTTGTTGGCGGCGGGGACGGTGGCGGACGAGATGGTCAACAGCGGGTGCTGGGGCGGCAGTTTGTTGTGATACTGTATTCTGTGGAGTCTGGGTTCCGGGCTGGGTGCCGGTGGGTTGACGAAGCCGGCCGAGACGTAGGGCAAGTCCGCCGAAACGGGCGGGCTACTGTTGGCGGGTGTAGTGGTTTCGCCGGACGACGACGACGACGACGACGACGGAGAAGACGGGCGCCGACCGCTGCGCTCGTCGCCGAAACCGCTGAATTCCGCGCTGCCGGCGCCGTCGTCCGCGTCGGATTCGTCGCTGCCGGCCGACTGCAGCAGTTCGTTGCTGGTGTCGCTGCCCAATTCGGACGACAAGAACTGTTCGTAACGGTCGGACGAAGCGGCCGCCGCCACCGGCCGTTCCCTGTTGCCGGGGAATCCCGCGGCTCCGCCCACGCAGTTGTAAGAGTGGACGCTCACGTACGCGCCGGCCGGGTCGTCGGCCGGTTCGGGGTCGATGAACGTGGCCGTGGTGCGTATGGTCATCGTCGGCATGGCCGTCAGGCGGTTGGGCGGTGATTTTTCCGGCACGGTGAGCGGCGCGGCCGTGAATCCCAAACCGGCGCGGGGCCTGAGACGCAGCGTCATGTCGCATCCGGTTTCGCCGCCGACGCCGCCGACGCCGCCACCGCCGCCGCCGTACAACAGCCGCACCGAGCCCGACACCATGAGCGTGCGGCCGAACCGCATGCGCGCCTCGAGCGTGTTGCCAAGCGGATCGTACCGGCACTCGTCAACCCGAGCCCACGTACGGTCGCCAAGCACGCCGTCGGCGCCGTTCGGCAAGGATTCCGAGGCGGCGGCGGCCGCGTCGCGCGGCGGCATCACTTTGGCGCGCATCCCGGTCACGTACATCTCGGCGCCGGGCGCGGTCCGCAACCGCTGGTGCAGCGCGTAACCGGACAGGTCCATGAAACCGGGCGGCAACGACTGCGGCGGGACGGCGGTGTGACGTCGGTTCCCGTTTTTGGCGCCCGTCGCCGCAGACATCATGTCGCCGAGCGCGGATTGCACGCGGGCCATGCACCGGCCGTCGGCCAACGGCGCGGTCGAAGACGCGGCCGCCGCGTACGGGTTCTTGTTGGTTATCTTCGGGGCGGCCCGCTTGTCCACCCGGTGGCCAGTCGGCCACGGGATCGGTGGCTGCGCAACAGGCCGAGCTGCAATGTAGAAAATCGAAATCAAACAATAGCACACATCATCACCCGACCGATTATTTGACCACTGACCTCATGATTGCACTGACCGATAATAATAATTCTGTCCGACGGCCCTGTTTTTTTATTTTTTATTTTTAAATCGATCTGATAGTATTTATCAGACCGGCCGATAATTAACAGCGATTCGTATAAACATCGCGAACGATAGTTTTTTTATGGATCTCTGCGAGTTCTCGAACGAAAATCGCGAAAATAAATCATGGTGTGTGATCGTCGCGTAGCCCTGTAATGGATTACAAAGACCGCGAACTAACCCGGAACACGCCGATATTGTTATAGACGAAGATAGTGCACGCGACGTAGCAACTTATGACAAACCTGCCCAGTGGTAGTGAGAGAGGAAAAGAGTTCAACAAAACGATTAACATAATAACATTTTTAGAAAAAGATAGCGCACATTTTAGCTTCCATAATATGCACGTCAGTACCTATTGACAAACACGCCCGATAACAATGTTAGCTCTTGGAAACTTGTAGTGAAGTATGAGGGATGCCAATTATATATATATATATTAATACGTCCATAGATAATTTACTTAAATTTATGACGTTATGCCGTTATCACTTTATCGGAACTTTTTGACTATTACAATAACATTTTCCAAACGTAAGTTTTCAAAGTTGTACGTTTGTGCACACAATAGGTAGATATGTAATATGTATATATACGTTTTGAAAGCTTCATTTAAAATGCGGAAAACGAATTAAAAAACAAATGAAAGGGGTATAATATCATATCGATTCTACAATAATAACGGTTAATAGGTTAAATATGTCTGACAAACAGCTCTTAAAATTCCATTCATTTTTATAATATTGATTATCAATCATACGGTGTATTGTATGTGTATGAAAATAGTAACCATAGAAAAGTGATTAAAGTCTTTAAGAATTTTTAACACTATATTCATGTGTTTATAATTATTTATACAGCAATATAAATAAGTCGTTTTGAGAAACTCGATTTGTCCCAGAATCCAAACTTTGGGGAAAATTAAAATAATGAGTTCTGAGCTACTTGATAGATATTTTCTCGATTCCTACAATTTTACATCGCTATTAATGCCAACTAAAACTACAATAAAATGTCATTCAATTTTTTTTTGGACAAGTCGAGATTTTTAAGCAACTACCTAATTTAATCGCATTATCTAGCCTATCTAGATATAAGTATGCTTACATAATACCATTGAGTATATATAGTTTATATATATATATACTCAATGATAATACACAGTGTTTAACGCAATACAGGACGATGATGATAGTGTTTACTTACTTATTAAATCGTCACCGTCACTGATACTGTTAATACCGAACAGTTTTTGTTGCATTTGGTAGTAATCGATATTGCCCAATACTGTAGCCGCCAATGAACCGAAACCGCGTCCACGCTCAGCAGCCGGCAGCGACATTACTAACAGAAATGTCCATATCTTTAGCGCCATCTGCTGAATAAAAAAACCCGTACAAACAATAAAAAATTATTATAATAGTAAAAAATATTTGCATCGATTAGTTTCAAATGTACGCGTGATGCACGTAATTTTTACATTCAAATGACGAATAATTAATTCGCGACTTGGTTAAAAAGGAATGTAGGCATGTTTAAACGGTATTATAATATATCTAATATGCTATGTAAGGGAATTTGTTTAAATGGCAATAATACTCATTATTTCGAAAAGTTTTAACTTTTTAAAAATATATTTTCCTTATAATTTTACGTCATTGCAAATCAACAACTTTGAAGAAAAAAAATTCATTTTTTATAATTTTTAAATTTTTTTTTTATTTTGATCGACCGCAACGGCATTTATTTTTAATTTTATATCAGAGTATTTTTCGGAGTGTTTCGACACATAACTATTGAATTTCAAACTATAGTAGTTATAATTTTATTATATTTAAAACTTATACGTTTTTAAGGTTTATATGAGCAAAATTTTAATCTATTACTTCGCTTGTTTAAACTTCAAATAATTACGAATAACTAATCAAATACTTATTCGAAATTTATTGTTTGTATACTAAAATACCCTGAAAAACATTCTGCATAGGAATATAATATTAAAAATACACGTTATTCATTAAAAAAAAAAATAAAAAATAAAATGTTTTGAAAAATATTGTTTTGTAATGACATCAATTTATATAAAATCAATATTTAAAAAATGTGAAGACCGAAATGTATACACTTAAATGTATCTTATTGTATACATATACATAGCCATAGTTATATAGCTATTCTGTAAAGTTCACCATTCGAACACCCCCGCGAATGGCAAGGTGAGACACGATATGGATAAAACTTTGTCGACGAAAACTGCGCAAGACTTACCAGCCGGATTTGAACGATAGCGGTGGAAATAATAATATATAATCGTAATAAAGTGTCTGTGTCGTTTTAGAATGTGAATAAATGTTATGTGCGCGATGTACCTATTGTGTTATTATAATGCGATTTAAAAAGTAAAGTGATTTAATATCGTTTTATTGCAGACTAAATTTTATACATTTTGTACACAGTTTTGTTCTACCGTATCTCTAATATCATATTATTTAAACATATTATATCCTGCAATCAGTGTGTATCGCTTAAAATTGTACAACTGCCCACTGGTCGTCAATAGAGTTAGCAATTTTCATTGTTTTCAGTTTTTCACCGTACTCGATTCTATGCATTAGTGCCCATTAATGATTAAACAACAATAATTGAGTAAAACTGTTTCAATAAATGTGTTCAAATATGCATTTCACATCATCGAATTTTAATACTTCTACCACTTATTGTGAATTATTAGATAGGTATAAATGTACCTGTGTAATAATTTTCTAATCGATATATACAAATAACAAAGTCGCAGTTTTCCGTACAATAATATATGCGAAATAGGTAAAATTACATTTTGTCTGAATTCATTATATCACTATACTATAATTGAATGAAAGCTCATTCGTGCCATTTTGATGTATTCACACTAATTTTAATGATTTATTCAGCATATTTAATTTAAAGATATAATTTTAATTTTCAGTATATGTTATAAATTATATGCATTATGCATACAATGTACTTTTTATATGTAAATATAAATTATTAGATAGATGTTGATTGCTTTTAATAATATTCGAAAAATGGTTTAATATTTAAAAACCTTATATAATATATTGTATAGAAGAATCGATTGTTCTCGTCAAAACCCGTCTGCGTGCGAGATGGACGAATCCAATATTGCTAGACCAGTGAATCGCGGTTCACACACGCGTGTAAAATTACGTTGAAAACGATTTCACATGAGTAAATAACCCGTACCTGCGTCTCTACATGTAAATAACGACAACGACACACTATATTAAATATTTTTTTTTAATGTTTGTGAAAATTTCGTTACAGACCTTTTGTTGTAGCCACGGCGGTTGAATACTCTGGCGGGATTTGAACGCGGGTGGTAATAACCCTACTGGTCGTCGCGGACTAAGTGAACTGGCTCGAAATTCAAGACGTTTTTGCGCGATCGGGAAGAGGTTCGGTATGCCACTGAAACGAATGTAACAAGACGACGACGACGACAGCTATCTCTGAACAGCGCTGCGTATATAGGTGGTAAGGGCAAGTACAGGTATATAATGCGTGGTTAACGGTCGTCGCCGTCGGTTCGGTCCGACAACCGAAAGCACCTACCTATATTATATTGGAATGGTATCATTACGGTAGTAATCTAAGAGTTCAGTGGCGGTAGTGGTGAGCGGGTGAGGTCGGGTTATTAGGCGCACCGACTATTCTGCACAAACTAGCGCGAGACTGCTGCTGTGATATATATGTATACATGTACGCACAACATAGGTAGGTACATTATATTATTATAAATTATTATAATATACGCGTAGTTTAATGCACTCTGAAGAGATGGCGAATGATTCGGTCGAAAACGGTTAGTGTGCCAAATGCGAATGTTTCCGGCGCAGATCGGTGCGGCAGCGGCGGCCGTATTTTATAACATTATTATAATAACGAGACCGACCGACCGGTCTATCATCGCGATTCGTGGTCCACTGGTATTCACCACAGCGCAAATAAAAATAATAATAATAATAATAATAATATACATATACATAGTACATACACATTTTTTATTCATATGAAAATACGCACGCAAGTATTATTATAATCGTGTGCATTGTCGACTTTTATTCCGGTGAAAACTGCCATTATAATAATATTACATATAGTACGCACTATACACAACTCGTATGCGCATAACGATTAATAAGTATATGAATGTGGTGGTCTGGTGAACGCGATTCCGCGCGCTAGCGTTGTATTCCTATTGTTACAGTCGCCGCCGTGTACCTATGTATAGATAAACACATAATAATATGTTATTACAATATTAAACCATAATAAGCGTAATACTCGATGATCACGTCATTATTATTATTACAATCGTCGTTGTTATACGTGCCATGTCTCGGCGTAGTAAAACACTAGGCGTGGCCGTTGCGGTGATCGTTCTTATAGGCACACATTACAATAGTTCAAACGATAGATTATTGTAATAAAATTATTATTATATTCGATCGTTTTGGTCTAAGCGGGTGGGTTACACCGTCTATACTTACGAATCTTCTACGATCAAGTTTTTAACCTAACCGAGTTAAGGCGATACCTACAGATCAATTATTATTTGTGTCGAGTTTAAAGTTAAAACTTACTTCTTTTGTTTTTGAAAATTAAATAGAAAAATAGTTACTCGGCTTAAACGAAGATAACTTATATATATTATATATATATATTTGCTAACTCGTTTACAATTTTATCCGATAAAACCACAACAATAATCTAATTAAATAAAAATATAAATACACAAAAACATATGCAAGAGAAATACGTTCGTGTAACATATTACATGCGCTTTATTGGCCGTAGGTATCGCTTTTTTTGTTTAGTAAGCATACCGATTCGTTATATAAGTTATACGCAGGTTATTCGATTAATTTACAATATTACGATTGAACCTATAGCTATACATTAATATCATATTTATCTTCCTATTCGTAATATTTTACCCGTTAGTTATTTCATGTATTTAGTAGGTAGGTTGTAAGTTGTAAGGTTGTATTACTATGCTTTTTTTATAATTGACTCTCATTAAAATTTAAAAATAGTGCATTCAATGATTTGACATTTTATTATTATTATTTATTTTTTTTTTTTTAACAATTGTTTGTAGTTTACTCTTAAGAATAATATATTTAAAATTCATGAATCATGATGTTTGTATATTTAATTAGAAAATATGTAACTTAACGTGACTGTATAAAATTAATTAACTGATTAGTAACTGCATATCATGGGAAAAATGAACTTATATTAAGTTAGAAGTTACTTTAATAAAACGGTATTTTGTTATTAAATTAATTTAAAGTAACTTTAACTGATTTTAATTCGTTAATGATCAATTTTACTATATTGTAAATATACAAAACAAATTAAAAGTATACTACATACCAATAAATTGTTTGTGAAAACTGTTTTGCGTGGAAAGAACCACTCTGCAGGTTACAGTCATAATTCAAAAAAGAAATTTATATAATAATAATTCTGATAATATTTTTTCTGTTATTTAATATCTTATTTCTGTTTTAGATGCACTTTGTTATTACTTATTATACTTTAAAACTGTTATATTAGACGACAGTCTATCAGAAAAAATAAATAAAATAAAATTATTTCCATGAGATAGAAAACATTATTAATCATGTTATAACGTTCTTATTTATTTAATTTCATGATATGTTTAAAAAAAATAAATACTTTAAGATTTGAAATGAGTTTAAAAACAATACTAACTTTTTATTTGTTTAAGTGATATTAAAAAACAAAAACGGTAATACCTACTGAGCAAATATAGTCAATTTATCATTTATTAATTTAGTTGTCAATATATCTATGACTTCAATTTATAAGTGCTGGTTCTTTTTTATGCCAAACCGTTTTCCTATATAATCTTGTAATTACGTAACATCCAAAAATGATATAGACATGGTTTTTAAATTACTTATTTTGAATTGATATTTAAATATATTTATGATTGAAAAGTTGAATTTTTTTTAAAATGACTTTAAAATTGTCTAAATTTAAACCTTTAATAACTAGCTTGTATTCTTCATCTTATTAATTCATAATTCGGCATATTACACGTTTAGATTAATTCATTTTACTCTGTTATTTTCAATATTTGAATGAATGACCACCTATTAATAAATTTAAAAGATAGAATATTATATAAAACTATTTAAGTTTCTGTATGAATGCTTTTTTTAATATTTTAATTTTGAAGTAAGTTCGGTATGATAATTTTAAAATCGAATTTTTTTTTTGTTAATTTACAACATCTTTTTAACGTTTTTTTTTCTGTAATAGATTGTAATGTATGTGATAATTTATTGATACAACAATAACTACCATAATTATGAAAAATTAAACTAAATTAACTAATTACGCAATTATGTAATATAGTATACTATTGTGTTTAAGTATAAACTTTGTACTAACGGATATTGTGCATAATATGTGAATACGTGAAGGTATTTCACTGGAAACAACGACTGAAGCGTAATAAATTATAGTTTTTCTTTTCTTTTCTTTTCTTTTTTTGTTTATTTTTACTTTCATATTGTTTATTTGGTTAATTCCCTCATCAAATTTGGACGTATTTTATTATACGTATATTTTATGATCTAGGGAGATGTCAGAGATATGTTACACGTTTATAGATTAGGTATGTCGTTACAATTTGCAGCTTTCATTATTATTTTTATGTACGTAGTTTTGTGTTTAGTTCTTCGTTTATACGTAGGGATAATGTAGTTTTAAAAAGATTACTTTTAAAAAACTATACACACTATCATTAGAAAATAGAAAGTAATATTTTAAATCAAATTTGTTTAATATCACGGGGGGATGCCCCTTTCGCCCCCCACAGGTACACCACTGCTAAAATTAATACTAAAATTTTACTAAAAAGTTTACTAAACATTTTTAAAACTTAATACAACACAGTATTTATATATATCTTATTTATTTATTTATTTATTGAATAAGCGCCTGTTAGGTTCAACTTCAGAAATGTAATACAATATACCTAACACAGTAAATTATCATAATAGATATTGATAAGTTAGATATAAACAATAATAAACATAAATAAATATTAAGCACTTATACGAGTTATACGCAAATTATATGTTTTTTAATAAAATATTTTGAAAACTTAATTTGTTTAAACTCTAAAAAGCTAGATATAAAATCAAAAACTAATAGTATATTATAGTGAAATATATAATATTATAATTTGTAGTATATTTTAGAACAATTATGTAATTTTTTTTTTCTGAACAATGAATTTTATTATAAAACAACATATATATTTACTAAATTTTTGGAAAAATTTGTCTAAATTCCAATATTTAGTAATTATGTGATGCGTAAAAAATAAATATGTCAAATTGAATAGACAGAAATAATTATATTTATTCCATATTTTCTTATAAGTTAACGTTTTTCCATGTCATTAATATAATATAGGTACCCTGTTTATTTCACGAAAAAAAATGAATACGTTATGAAAACCCGATGTTTAGTTTTGGTATATACTCATAAATGACTGTATAAGTAGATAGGTATTTAATACATGTGCTAGTGAGTTGATCAAATAAATCTGAAATCAAAAACCAATAAACAGGTTATTTAAAATATATAATGAAATTCATTATGCATTAGTTAGATACCTATGTCAAGAAACAGTCTTCTACAAATTAAAACTATCAAAACATTTTAAGTTCTAAGAATAACTACTATTGTTGTCTATATAGTTACATTTAAATATAACAAACTATAATACAATGATATACTATAGGCAGTTAAATTATACATAAAATTACGAAAAGAAATCGTTTGTGTGACTAACAAACACGAAACTGAGATTTTCAAGGGCTGTATTAAATTAAATCTCGTAAAAAAAAATCTCGTTAATTATAATGTACATACATTATAGAGTGAATAATTATCGCGTGAGTGAAACCAAGACGGTTACAGTAATAATTATACTATATTATTGTTGCGCACTAATTATCACTGTTCTCTTTTATATGGACCAATAACCATTGTAGGGTAGCAATGAATTCAGTGCTGTGGTTTTATATTGCATATTAGATATCCAATGTAATAGTTTACAAAATTTTAATTCATAAAAAAAACCTCACGATACTGGATATTTATTTACAAACCAAGAAACCACGAAAATGTTTTTTAACAAAAAAACTATAATATACATATTATAAATACATTATACATTTATACGTATGATTTATATGTATTATACAAAGAGTTTTAAAATCATTATTATATTTTTATTATTTTTACTGATTTATATTAAATATAAATCATCAATTAATATCGTATCAATCAACAATAAACAATAATACAAAATATATTTTATATCGTAGTTTATTAAACAGGCCATGATATTAAAATCATATAATATTTAAT